AGGTAAGAGCTTCAAGTTAGGAGAGAGGATGGGATTCACGCCCAACACCTCTTCGCAAATCCGAAGGCTACCACTTAAGCAAATCATTAAAAAATACAAACGCTTTATCTCATACGCGTGTCGGAGAGCATTGATTAGCATACGGTATCTCTTAAAGGGACGGCATTCCTTAATTACATTTCAGAAATAAATACTAGAATGGAATATTTCACACTGTAAAAATAACCAAGGTAGAATAATATACTGTAAGCTGTTTTTCGAACCGCTTTATATGAGGCTTATGAAAACTTTTGTAATCATAGAAAATATTCACTTTTTTTCTGAAAGAACTCAAATTAGTTTTTGAGTAATGCAACTCGTAGATACATTATATTGAATAACTAGAAACATGATATTAGTGAAGACTGACACTGATGCATCGTTCGTGCCATAGAAATGCCATGAAAAATAAATTTGCCTTTCAAACCTAATTCTATCAGCGTGCGAGCAGCATCCACGTGCAAGAGCTATTCAAATCATATCTCGGGAGGGTATCGCCATACATAAAGCTTTCTTTAATCAGTTGTGCAACTTGGTAGAATATTCAATGTATAGAAAAAATGATAAAAGTTACACTCTGCCTCGTGCGTCATAAATTACTACTGAGGCTGAAATCACGCGCCCTTGCGAACTGTCCCCGTGTAGTCCGCTAATCAAATTTATATTTAGACTGTGTATAATGCCCTAAATAGCATTCGATACGCTTCGTTCAATGAATCTCCACACTATTGCTGTATTTCAAGGTTATTGTACGTAATTTAAAATTTTTAAACCTTATGGATTAACAATAATAAGGGCAAACGTCCCCCGTGATAAATTTATAAGGGGATTGGTGTCTTGGATATTCTATAATCATTTTAGTGTAAAAGTAGATCCAATGAGGACCTTTCCCAGAATTGCCTTAAGGAGCTTTCATATATTGAATATGCAAATCATCTTAGAACTTTTAAATTAATTATCGAACTTAAATTCTAATCTCAATAATTTTTAATTAAGCTTGTTTATTTGCTACGATTTCGTGCTCAGTCGTTTCGTACATTTTCAAGGCTACAGAAAAGTTCATAATAAAAATATGTTTTTTTTCAAGAACATTTTTATTTAAGTAGTACAAAAAGGGGTGTGAGGGGCGAACCACCATCTTTCGCCCCAAGCCAACCTCACCTGCCCGCGGTGCATCCTGCTGAACGACGAACGAGGCTCTGGCGACCGACCGATGGCGGTATATCCATCCCAATAGGCGTAGCTAAATACAACAGGCCGGTGACGGGCAGCAGCGTTACCGGTGCGACAAGCTACGCCCTGCGATCGCCAACCCGCCTGCCCAGCGTGGCGATTATGGGCAAACCCCTCCCATGCAGACGCAACAAAGGCCACGGCCCCCAGTTCCCGGCGGCCCCGCTATTCCTGGTCATGGTGGCGACCACGGTAAAGGCGGGGAAGGGGGTGCGAAGAATCTCCGGGCTACGGGAGGCCACCACAACCGACTGACCCTGGCTACGTACAACGGACGCACGCTACGGCTAGACTCGCATCTGGCGCAACTTGAGGTGGAACTTGGGAAGATTAGGTGGCATATCCTAGGGCTATGTGAAGTCCGAAGAGAGGGGAAGGACACCATAACCCTCGAGTCAGGCCACCTAATGTACTTCCGCGAGGGAGACCAACAATCCCAAGGTGGGGTTGGGTTTCTGGTAAATAAGTCCCTATCTGACAACGTTGTGGAAATTTCCAGTGTGTCGAACAGGGTAGCGTACCTCATTATCAAGCTCACCGAGAGGTATAGCCTCAAGGTTGTGCAAGTGTACGCACCGACCTCGGCACATTCGGACGACGAGGTGGAGGATATGTACGATGACATATCGAGGGCCCTCCACTTCACAACTAAGACCCACTACAACGTTGTTATGGGTGACTTCAACGCTAAAGTGGGAGTACAGAATTGCGGCGAATCGGTAGTAGGATCCCATGGATTTGGAAGCAGGAATCATAGGGGGCAAATGCTGGTCAACTTCCTCGAACGGGAGGGGCTGTTTTTGATGAATTCTTTCTTCAAGAAACAGCCCCAAAGGAAGTGGACGTGGCAAAGCCCCGACGCTATGACTAGAAATGAGATCGATTTCATCATGACGGATAGAAAGCACATATTCAGAGACGTCTCAGTGATCAATAGGTTAATACCGGTAGTGATCACCGACTTGTCCGGGGCTCTCTGAATATCAACTTTAAGGCGGAACGTGTCTGTTTGATGAAATCCAGGCTCCGACCAACTCGGCTCCAAGCCATGACAGGATCTGAAACGTTCCAGTCAAAACTGGAAAACCGATTCGCTGCCGTGGAAACCACAATCGACGTAAACCAGAACCTCAAAAATGTGGTTCAGATCCTCAGGGAAGAAGGTATGAGATTTTGTGAAATGCAGCGTAAGGGCAGGAAGTCGAAGCTTTCAGAAAGGACCCTAGGGCTGATGAAGAAACGACGTGAAAACCCACCTGTCACTTTGGCGGCAAAGCGGACTCTAAACCGAGAGATCAGTAAACTCGTACGACACGACCTCCGGTGCTCCAATACTCTTTCAATTGAAAGAGCGATCGAGCAAAATCGGGGGTCAAAAGTGTTCGTACAATCTCTTGGAAGAAGCCACCTGACAAAGTTGACTACAGAAAGTGGAGAAGTCGTTGCTTCGAAGCCGGCAGTCCTTTTGGAAGTGGAAAGCTTCTATGGCCGGTTATACGCTTCGCATGCATCTCGACCTGATCCCGAAAATGAGGACTCTAGAGCCACATTAACACGTCACTACACCGAAGACCTGCCAGAAGTTAGCATTGACGAAATCGAGATGGCTCTTGGACAGCTGAAAAATGGAAAAGCCCCTGGAGAGGATGGCGTTACAACAGAGCTGCTGAAGGCCGGGGGTAAACCCGTACTAAGGGAGCTCCAAAAGCTCTTCAACGCTGTCCTGTTTGAAGGGAGAACTCCAGAAGCGTGGAGTAGGAGTGTGGTCGTCTTGTTCTTCAAAAAGGGTGACAAGACCAGGTTGAAGAACTATCGACCCATATCCCTTCTAAGCCACGTCTACAAGCTGTTTTCGAGAGTCATCACGAACCGTCTTGCGCAAAGACTTGACGAATTCCAACCACCGGAGCAAGCTGGGTTTCGGAGCGGATATGGCACCATAGACCACATCCACACAGTGCGGCAGATTATACAGAAGACCGAAGAATATAATCAGCCCCTGTGTCTAGCATTCGTGGACTATGAGAAAGCCTTTGACTCGATCGAGATCTGGTCTGTTCTGGAGTCCCTGCAGCGTTGCCAAGTAGATTGGCGATACATCCAAGTGATGAGATGTCTCTACGAAGCCGCCACCATGTCCGTCCAAGTACAGAATCAGCAAACAAGGCCCGTACCATTGCATCGAGGAGTGAGACAAGGGGACGTTATTTCCCCGAAATTGTTCACAAATGCAATGGAGGACATGTTCAAGACGCTGCACTGGAAAGGGCGTGGCATCAATATCAATGGCGAATACATCTCTCACTTGCGATTTGCAGATGACATCGTCATCATGGCAGAGACGTTGCAGGACCTACAGCAAATGCTGAATGACTTGGCTGACACTTCTGTACGCATCGGCCTACGGATGAACTTGGATAAAACCAAGGTCATGTTCAACGAACATGTACTACCGGAACCGATTGCGGTACACGGTGCCGTTCTCGAAGTTGTTCAAAATTATGTGTACCTCGGGCAGACATTGCAGTTAGGTAGAAACAACTTCGAGGACGAGGTGAACAGAAGAATTCGGTTGGGTTGGGCAGCGTTTGGGAAGCTACGTCGAGTCTTCTCATCGTCGATCCCACAGTGCCTTAAGACGAAAGTCTTTAATGAGTGCGTCCTACCCGTCATGACATACGGAGCTGAAACGTGGACACTTACGGTGCGGCTGGTCCACAAGTTCAAAGTCGCTCAACGTGCTATGGAAAGGGCTATGCTCGGCGTTTCTCTAAGGGATCGCATCAGAAATGAGGTGATCCGGCAGAGAACTAAGGTCACCGACATAGCGTACCGGATCAGCAAGCTGAAGTGGCAGTGGGCTGGCCATATTAGCCGCAGAACCGATAACCGTTGGGGAAAACGAGTTCTTGAGTGGAGACCGCGTCTCGGCAAACGTAGTGTAGGACGCCCACAGGCCAGGTGGAGTGACGATTTGCCCAAGATGGCTGGCAGGAGCTGGATGCGAGAAGCCCAAAATCGATCTAAGTGGCGTGCAATGGGAGAGGCCTATGTCCAGCAGTGGACTGCGATAGGCTGATGATGATGATGATGATGAGTACAAAAACGACCTACAAATAAGTAAGGAAATATTCCATATCAATTCTACAGTATTCTGCTACTCTGTAACGTAATGTCCGAATTTCTTTTTGTATGCAATTTTAAATATATCAAATTTATAATTGCCTATATTTTATTTTTGTATAAAATAGTTTTTGGTACATCAGATAAAACAGCCCTGTCTGAGTTACATGTGTTTCTTGTGTAAAAGTCTCTTACTTTTATAAATAAACAGTTGATTAACTTCACTGTATTAAGCAAATTCGAATTATGTACACTCGGGAAGAAGTCAATAACACATTCTGTGAAACGCTCCAATGTTCTATTTTAGCAATGAATCGGAATTATCCTAAACTTTCAGAAAATCATAGAATTGAATACATAACCGTAGTATATAATGTGTTTTGAGCTCTCTTTCTTAACTTTACCAAGAGATAGGAAAATCTGTTCTTTTTACATAGTCGAATTTATAATTGTATTCAATATTATAAATTATACCTAAAAATGTATACGTTCAACTTTATAAAATCAATCTTAACATCTACCCAGACAAAATCTCCCGTTCCCGCGCTATACCTCGATTGAACATATTTGTGTTAAAGAGTCTAATATTCTGTTATTTCGTCCAGGGTGTACTGCGTGAGTTGGAGCAGAAAAAGCCTCAGCTGGATGAACTGCTGCACACAGCGGAGAGCCTTAAAGGGACGGAGAACAGACAGCAGCTGCATGGCAAAGGTAAGTTTAGCAATAGTGCATGAGACCTTTCCGCCAGTAAATACTTCGAGTTACCTCGTTTGGGGAGATTTTTTAAAGGCGACTATCGCACTAGAAACATTTCCTGTGTCGTGGAGGACTTTATAAACATTCATGGTCGCAAAGAATTCTCAGACTCCGGACAACAATTTGTGGATTACACAGTGTGTTGTCCCATGTGGGGATCCACTCCACGGACTGCACTACTATGCTGAGTGCTGTGGGTCCGATCCCCACATGGGACAACACACTGTGTGATCCACAAATTGTTGTTCTGAGTCTGGGTGTTCTTTGTGTCCGTTTCATGTATGTTTGTAAAGTCCCCCGCGACACAGGATTTATTCCTAGTGCGGGAGTTGTCTTTCTAAAAGAAAAAAGAAATAAAAAATTTAGGTTTTAGGTCAGAATTTTGCTATAGCTGAAGGATTTTTTAAATTTATTTACGCATTTGGTGTACCGCATGGGCCTGGTCCGCCAGTTTTGTTTCCTTTTATGTATGTATGTTAGAAAAATCGTTTGCAGTCTTTTAAGGCTCATCGGGGTTGTCTTATTGACAGTTGAAAAAAAGTTACATTCATTGGAAAATTCCGTAATAACCTGACTAAATCGACATCCCTCTGAAAACTTTTAGCACACCGTGAATCATGTTGGCACATCGAATAACTTTTTCTGGCATATTCATTTGAATATGCCAGAAATATGTGGGCGTGACCGGGACGATAGTAGCAATAATGTTTAAAAAACTTCAAACTGTTAATTGCAAGAAACAATAACGATAGCAAAAATACTAGGAACAATTAGCAAAGAAAAATATAATTGTATGTTGTAAAAACTAAACCAGTCACTATCATCTTGTATGAAGGTGATTATTAGGTCACTTTCTAAAAACAACAAATTTCACATTTAAAAACAAACATCCGAAATAACAACAGTCGGGCCCTCTCATCTCAGTAATAACTCGGGGCGCTATTAAAAGAATTGGAAATCGGTGTAATTCACCCGAGAGCTATTGGAGAGTCTTGATGGAACATTCTGATTGGAAAGTAAGATGAGATATCCTTCGGCCCTCTCTGAGGGTCATAATTGTCTTGGAGACAATTTATAATGGGTTTAACATGAAAATTATTGATTTTGAAATAGCACAATATAGATACGGAGCGCTATGTCTGTTTAATAAAATTATTTAGGTGGTTACTATAGTTATATAATTAAAAGTTCAAACCTTCAAGTAAAGAGCGCACTCCTTCCTCAAAGGCTGGCAACGCGCTTGTGACTCGTCAGTTGCAGGCGTTCATGGGCGGCGGTAGCCGCTTTCCATCAGGTGACCCGTCTGCTCGTTTGCCCCCTATTCCATAAAAAAAGTGACTCGTATAAACTTAAAATGCCCTGTGTGTTACAAAACGATGTGGTCACATCACATATATTATTAGGGTCTTATTGTAAATCAAAAAAAGTCAATTCCAAAAGTAATAATCATGATTTCATTACATCTATACAAATAAATAAAATTGAAGTGTCTGTAATGTCAAAATAATTTTTTTTTTATGCTCATAGGGTTTTTTGCACGATACCTATGCCTAAAAACGAGTTTTAATATTTTTTGTCTGTCTGTCTGTATCGATACTGATAATATCTTACTACCATGTATCTGTCTATATAAGGTGTAAGTTAGGCTATTTTTGCTCTCAGAAAAACTCTATAAAATTTTGCCTGGTCCTTGAATTGAACTCACTAAGGCACTTTTTTTCATTTGTCTTATAAAGTAAAGCAAATGTTTTTCGGCTGGACAATATATTCTTGAAATTTTAACACACCTTTCCATGGCACTCTATTTATGAACCTTTAAGATTTCAATTTGATTCCAACGGTACTTGTCAGCATGTTAACACACTAAAACTTTACACGTATTGCGTTTTAACAGTTAGTAATTAAAATAATTTAACATTGATACTGCCACAGTAAGGTATAGGTCACTATTCTGCATGTACGGGTATTTTTAACATGTGAGAAATAACTTCAGAGGTCACCAAAAATGCACTTTATTCTTTCCGAGGAATTACAAAGGCTATAATTACTAGGATATTATTACTACAGTGGTGAATTACTAAATAAACGGTGAAAGTTCTGATGAGGCAATTGTATATTGAAGAAAATTGAATCTGTATTGTTTTGTAAAAGAAAGTTTAATCTTCTAAAGTCGAATCCTGTAAAGAGCTCGTACAACCGTTCTCGTGAATAAAACAGACTTGGTACAGATTAATTCCAAGTCGACTCGCCTCAGAATTAATTGATCTATCGAGACAAATGTCCTCTTTCCAGAGAAGTGTACGTTTATCAAAGGTACTTATGACTCGAGTGGTACTTTTTCCCTATTTGAAGACAAACTCATAGTTGGTATTTTGTTATAGGAAGGCAAACGAGCTGACGGGTCATCTGATGATGAGTAACCTGTTTGCCCTCCTATAACATAAAAAAAATAAACAGGTATCGACATTTAGAAGTAGGTAGGGAAAAATTGTTTTTTCATTCAAAACTTTATGCACAAGTTACAATTGTACAATGGCGGATTTAAATCCTCGGGCATTTTTTCCCAGTCTACCTTTTGGTGGTAGGGAAATATCTGACTTAGGTGTACTTATTAGGTATTTTTTAAAGATAATTTAGGAGATGGACATATTTATGTACTAGCTGACCCTGCAAACGTTGTTTTGCTATATACATTATTTAAAAAAAAAATGTTTTGAATTTCTTAAAATCCGTTCTTAGCTGACCTCTACTCGGTGAAAAGAATATTCCTACCAAATTTCAAGTCTTTAGCTCTAATAGTTCCAGAGATATCGTGATGAGTGACTATATACGTGGAAATCTCTTATAGGTATATATATGTATAGATGTATGTATATCTGTTCTACTGTTTCTGTAAAATCAGGAAGTATATATATATATATATATGTATTTGAGTATGTACAGAAATACACATACATATATATATACATATAATATGTATAAAACTTTAAGGATATTATTAATCTGCTAGGTGCTAGAGTGTCTAAAATGTGAGCTCGGACTTTTTCTTGATTTCCATAGGGAGAGCGTTCCAGAGGAAGACAGATGTGATTAGGAACGAAGAGTGGACACACGCGGAAGTATGAGTGGGTATATGTTATGGGTGTGTATGGGTATGTTCTATTGTCTTGAGTATCCCTTGAAATTGTCATACAAGGCTCAGACAAGACTAGTTTTCATAGTTAATTAAAAGTGTAGTTAATAAATGCGTGTTAATTATAGTTTCATTCTAATACGGTAAAGTAATATTGTATCATTGTTAAGTCATGAAGCGAGGACAGTTAAACACAGATATTCCATAGCCGGAACATGAACAAAGCTGTAACACAATTTAACACAACTTTCGCCCCAGCCAATCTTCTTGTAGTTTAATTGTTGCCAAGAGTCTTTGTAATCACAGGCACTTCTTACCCGTACCACGAGTTTCATCCATATTTAACTGTACTATCTGCGGTTATATTCTTTCGTATGAAAATCGTAGTAACGGGTAATTTATTCGTGTTAAGCAGTCAAGCCACCTCCATCGAGTTTGGGCTACTGAGTATATTATGTTTTTTTACCTGGAGCGATTATATCGAAGAATTTTTTGTCTTAGCAGACAATCAATTGTAAGCAATTGTTGCTATGTACTCGTAGTTCTATTCATGGACAAGTAATATAGTGTATATCTTACAATGTACATAGTACATACAGCATTAATTAAATGTTTAGTAATATATAGCACGGTAGACACGAGTGTTGTAACACCAAAAATACAGATATTTTAACTCACCCGCGGCTGCACTCCCGTAAAACATGTAACTGACGTGTTTAATTTTGTTGTTTGTGAAAATGATATCTTTTTTATGATGACGTATCTGTTCTCTTATTCGTTGCTCTTATTCATTAGTAATGCCTTTTTTTTAAAGGATCTATCTTAACTGAGATCCGCCATAAACTTGTAAATACAAGTTTGGTCTACAGTCACGAACGATTTATTTTATAAGTCGACGATTAAAACAAAATAGTTGTAACATCAATATAAAGACTAAAAGTGTCTGTCGGTCTGTTCTCATTCGCACTTATATAACTTCTAGACCCGTCTAATACAAGGGCGAATATTGCTTAACTGATAACATATCATATGACTTTTAAGCATTCATTACTTTTTTAAACTTTTGTCTGCAGGAAAAGTATATACATGTGTATATATGTAATTTTAGTGGCACTTAAACATATTTTTGATTGTCACTTTGAACACGACGTAAGTAAACAAGACTTTTAGTGAATAAATAAGTTCAATCTGCTGCTCAAACGAGAGATTATGTTGCCAATGATAAGATGAGAGACGTAACAAAGAAACGTTAACGTAACAAACATCAAAGAAAGTAAATCCAATGAACGCGTAAAGTAAACTTCGCCCTTAATCTGGTTAGTCACCCTCCGCCCTCTTGAGAGGGACGCGTGAGGAGTGCCCGTTGAAATATAATCAACTTTGCCTATTCTGTGAGACTCTGTGTTTGACCAAGAGTATGTAATTAGGTCAATTAATGGGCCCGAATTTGTTTATAATATGGTCGAAGCGAATTTGTTCGAGAGTGGAGTATGTGTGTTGAAGTGAGGACTGGTTCAAAAAGGTTGATTTTAAGATAAAATAAGGTTTTCTAGATGATTGAAATGTTTGTCCCAATAAATAAAGCCCCTATTCAGCAACTCGCAACGGGAATTTTAAATTTTTATTATATATTTTGTGTGTTCGTGTAAGTGAGTTTGTAAGTTCCAAATAAATATTCACAAAGAACGGCTTGATTGCTCAATGCTATTTCTTCCGGGTGAATTTAGGTGGGATAATGAGGACAAAGTGTGGAAAAACCTTAAAAACAGAACTCAAATTCGATGTTTACTTACATGATATACTCACATTACATAATAATATTAACTTTATTTCAATAATTGACGT